TAAAATATAAATAAATATTGGAAAAATAAAACTTATGCCTGATGAGGTATTTCCATGTCTAGTTACCCAACTTTCTTGGTTTACTTAGTTTCGTAGGCGGTCGAAAGGTGGAAGCCAACAACAACAAGAAAAGCAGCGAAAAAGGCTCCGCAAGCGGACCGAAATATATTGAAATATGGCGGTAAGCGGGCAATTTAAATGTGCCCCCGCAACACTTGCCGCTCCCTCCGCTGCCCGGAATGTGGTTTTAAGTAATTCATGGATTAATGGTAGCATATTGGTCTTGTGGCAGGAGAGGTGAGCCGGCAGGAGGACATGGTGGAAGTGGCCGCCGTCCCGTGAGTGAATGGTCGTGTCTGAGGCCGAGACCGGAGACCAAGAGCCTGTCTGTCTGTCTGTCTGCGGGGCCTTGGCCGTGGCAAGAGTAGGAGTTGCATGTTTAGCACGTGCCTCCAGTTCCTCTTTTGTGGCAGAGACTCGAATGTTGCTGCCGTGTGGTAGTTGCCGTTGCCGCGCTGCTGATAATGCGTTGACCGCCAACGCCGCAAACTAGATTGTTACGTTTATAATCATTAGGCAAGTCGGTGATTTGTTTTCCTTTTGCCTAGGTGCACTATTTTCTCCTGCATCGCATCGATTCTTTGGGGCTATGAAAGTTGCAGCTTGTTGGTTGCCACAAAAAGCACCGTTAATATGAGGTTAGTTTAGTGGCAACAAACTGGAGGCTAGTTTTTGGTAAGTTCACCGATTTTAATTTGATGTGTGTATACATTTTGCATGTGCCTTATTTATTAGAAAAGCAGAATTCAGTGAAGATTTTTTTGATAATTACATCTTTCCCCTTAAAAACTTCCCTAATAACCTTGTCTCTTTTATTTCCCAACTCACTTGAGCTCCAATCAAATCCCAGAGAGTTGCATCACAGCCTTTTTGGACTCCTCAATTGAGGTTTTCTTTCACATCTCTGTCACTCCGCCGGCTTAACCGAAAAATTAATTTCAATTTTTGTTTTTGGCACATAACGCCGCGTCATACTTCCTGTAGAAAGAAGAAAAACCCCAACTCACTCACTGGCCGCGGCCACATAACACTTTTCCCTAAGCTGCGCAACACACAAACAGAGTCTCAGTCACAACGAGAAACCAACAAATTGCATTTTAATGCAACTTTCCAAATCAATTTTCCGAAAAGCCAAACACTGTCTCCCTCTCTCTCCCGCTTTGTGTGTGCATTTCCCTTTAACAAGTTGAGGGAAAATGGGAGGGGAGTTGGCCAGGTCGGAGTTAGCCACAAGAGTGCCTGGGCAAAAGGCCAATATAAAAATAAATAAAGCCAGAGTCAGCCATGTGACAGTTATGGATGAGAAGGCTGCACTCCAGCCTCAGCTCCAGCCCCAGCTCCAACTCGAACCGATCCCCGATCCGTACTCGAAGCCGGAGTTAAGCCAAAGTAACGAGTTGCCAGCGCGATAAAAAATCTAAGTTTAATACGAATTAAGATAAACAAATAATGAGCAAGGGAGCGGGTTGTCTGGGGACCTGGCGGGGATCTAATCGAATGTTTGTGCGGACGGCAATGGAGACCTCCGGGCCCAAGCTCAAGTGACAAGTGCGAGCCAAGCTTTTGCTTTTGACATTTGCTGAATATGAGACTGCGACTGCGATTGCGACTCCGACTGCGAGTGCAAAGACGATGATCATGATGATGATGACTACGTGGATTCGCAGTCGTTGTTTATGTTTACTCGAACGATGAAACCTTATGCCTAATAATAGGGTCGACTTTGAAATGCATACGATGGGGAGTGTAGTGGAGTAGAGTGGAGTGGAGTGTAGGGGAGGAGGAAGACCTGGAGACACACAGTTCGGCTCGCTTTTGACGGGGGCGTTAGCCACGGTGCAAAATGTAGAGCTCCAGAGTTGATCTCCATGTTGCCGATGCTTGACATTTATGTGAACCCAGGCAGCAGCAGCAACAAAAACACGACAGAACGACACGAAACCAAACCAAGTTGGAGCACAACCCGGAGCTGGAGCCGGAGATCCAACAGATCCAAGAGATCCCAGGTGATCGTGGGCAAGCGAGTCATGAATCTTATGACGCCTACGTGTACTTTTGGCATTTGGCATGTCAAATACAATAAGTACTAGGGGAGCCCCCAGAGCCAGAGATCAGAGCCCAAGTTGGAGTTGGAGACGGAGGCCCAAAAGCGGAGCCTGCGTTGGTTCTTCGGGTTCAAGACTCTCTTCTCAGCTGACAGCTTCGTTTTGGGCCGCGAACTCGTTTTCTGGGCTCTGGGTCTTTAGAGGGGAGCACAGAACAGAACATTCCTGGCCTGTCATTAACCGACAGAAACTAATTCGCTCCAAATAAGTTCAAGGCGGAATGCTGATAGATTGACAAAGCGAATGGGTTCAGAGATGTTTGCTCATGTTCTGGCCACAATTTGCGAATCAGTCAACTCGAGTTTCGGTGGACGAGAGAAGGAGATGTGGGTAATGGCTTGATTGTGAACTTTAGATACGCTCCAAGGGGTTATTTGTTTGAATTTAATCAAGTAAAATCATACAAAGAAAATTTATTTAAATAGTTTGAGGAAGTTAATTAAATCCGATCAATGCTTGTCAATCAAAGCGTTAGATCTTTCTTATTAAAAATGCTTACTCTCTCAAAAAGTCTCTATCTAAACCGGCGAATCTGGCGGATCCCATCTTCTATCGATCAAGTTTCTAAGCTCCTCTTGTGTTACCTCACATTCCAACCCACCTGCTACCTTGTGCTGCACTTAATCAGCGAATAATTCATGACAAACCCTCCGCTCTCCGCTCTGCCTGGGCAAAGGGGAGTGGCTTTGGCTTTGGCTCTGGCCCAACCTCCCTCCCGTAGCTCGTGTCGCTGATCACGCATAGAAATTATTATTGTGCTTTAATATAGCCATAAATCTGAACATTTAAAATGCAGAAAATATCGCATCCTGCTGCGTTCCGTTTCGTTTGCGGGGAGACCCATCCCAGTCCGGTCTGGACCAACTTATGACTTCATCTGCATTTTTATGGCGAATGCGCCCTGGCGATAATAAACCCTGGCATCGAGGCCGAGATCGGCATGGGGATCGAGATCGAGCCACCCATGCGTGCTCCTAGATGCGGAGAGCTCGACAGTGGTGAGTCGAGAGTCGAGCGAGGGCCGAGAGCCGAGAGGCAATATCAATAACACTTGCAACTCTGTCCGAATGCAACATGATGCGACAACGACAACGACAACGCAACGACAACGTCGGACAATGTCACTGAACCAGTTCTCAATGTCTTCATATAGATTTCCACGGCCCGCGAGAGTCAACCTCTGCACTAAATATTTACAACCTCCACAATATCTCAACGACCGACAACGACGACAAAAAAAAAAGGCTAGAGGAAAAAAGACGGACTGGAGCGAGGCTGGTCTTTTCTATCGCCTGGCCTGGCGGAACAAGTTCATGCAACTGCGGCAGCTCTGCACCACAAAAGGTGTTCAGGCGACCAAGACCGAGCCCAAGAGCAAGATCCAACTGCCAACTACCAACGGCCAAGAGCCAAAGAGCCAACGACCAACGACCGACGGCCAAAGCTGGCCAAGTGTCGTTGTGGCCATAAATTCAATTGAATATTACGCCAATTGCCTTTTTGTCTATCGCGAACCTCGGGGAGGAGTCAACGTCAGCGGCCTCCAAACTGGTTCCATCATCATCAGCTCAGTACGGTACGGTCCGTTGAGATATGCGCTCTTTTTAAGCAGATTTAGTTCATCTTTGAATGCACGCTAAGCCGCTTTCGGCGCGCTAATTAGACGACTTTCAAGGCCCCATCTCCGCGGGCTAATATGCATCAAAATGTGTCAACACCTGGAGCAAGCACTCCTCCTCCTCCTCCGGATCCTGCCGCCCCGTCCGGCTTGGCTTAATTGTTAACTCTTCGCGTACATGGCTCTCCGCTATCGAACCGAACCTAGGCCATGTTTTCACTCCATTAACGCGTTGCGACGCGGACTTTGGGGGATCGGTGATCGGTGGCCGGCAACCGGGGTGTGCAGATCCTGAACGGGGTCTGGTAATGATGCCTGACGTTGACCGATCGTCGACCGCAAAAGCCGGGGCCAGGCTGAAATCCCCAGCCAGAGACAGAGACAGAGCCAGAGCCCAAGTTAGTGCCGCAGCCAGATCCAGATCCAGAGCAAAAGCCGGCCCAGGCTGACCGAGCGATCAAAAGTCGTTCAACTTGCCGGAACTGGTCGTAAAGATCACCTGGCCACCATTGCCTCTATGTGGAGCATTTTCCTCTCGGACCTGGCCAACGCAGCAGCGTGCCAGCAACGATGGCGATGATGCTGAAGCTCGCGTGGCACAATATTAATGGCCGCCAGAGAGTTCAGCACCGGCCACCGACGGGTTCAAATCCCGAAACATGGTTAATCTTTGCGTTCGGTTTTCTGGGCAGGAAACCCCAACAAAGGCAGCAAATCAGCGAAAATAAACGATCTGCGAATAGCCTTTGGGTAAATGAACTTTGACTCCTGTGAGAGGGGGGGTTAAGAATGCTATGGAATGACTAGCAATGGTAAGGTTTTCGATCCTAAAAAGGTCTTTAATGCTCAAGGCAGCTAGAAAGTTTCGGAAATAGTTGCATTTCTTTCTAAGAGCCTTGCTTTTTCCTCGCTCTTAAAAAATAAATAATTTTCATTACGAGTTAAGCTATCATCTTGGGCCCTAAACATCCATATGTCGCGAGGAGGACTTTTCTTCTTTATATTTATTTCTTATAAATATAGTTCCCTCTAAGGTAGTTCAGTTTACTTTCTAACGTGCGATTTATTTACCCCTGCCAGTTGGACCATAAAACTCAATTAGTCGGGCCTGGAACCTAGGAGAGTCCTCCTTTCTCTCCTGCAAGTTGCTTTGCTTAATCAACAAACAAACAAATGGGCTAAAAGGGAGAATGTTATGTTGGATTTTCGGTGCTTACCTGAACGTATTCGGCGCATATATCAATTCCACCCACAAAGCCGCACACATCGTCCACGGACCAGGAGTTTACCTCCACACTCTGCGCCTGACACCGTCTGCGGGCTCTGCCAGCTCCCGATCCCGCTCCGGCTCCTGTTGCTGTTCCTGCGTTGGCGTTGCCAGAATGGATCTCATCGTGTTGCTGCTGCTGATCCAACGGCGGCGGGGATGGTGTGGAAGTGGCCGAGGCTGTGGTGGCCGTTGTCGCCGTGGAACTGGCACGACGCTCGGCCTTAAAGCGCTTGGCGGCCGGCGGCTGGGAGCTCAAGTCCAGTGGCGCCGCCGACGCAATCGAGGGGCCACCACCGCCGCCGCCTCCCATGGGCGCCACTGCGGAGGCATCGTTGGTGGAGCGTGGACTAGACTGGCGCGAAGCGTGATGCGATTGTTGCTGCTGCTGCTGCCGTTGATGCTGCTGCTGTTGCTGCTGCAGTTGCGCCGAGTAGATGAGGGCGGGGGTTACAAATTGGGCTGCCTGCTGCAGTGCCGCATTCAGAGTGGAGTTGGAACGCGGCGTGCCCGCCGCACTCGCGCTCGGCGACGAGGCATTCGAGCCGGGGCGCTGTTGCTTGCTGCGCAGAATCTCTTGGATTTCGGCATCTTTGACAGCACGCGCCTGAGGAGTATGGAGTGGGGGAAGGGAAATAAATGGAGAAAGAGAAGGGATTAGATGTAAAGTAAAACTGTGGTCTTGGGGAATCGAATCTGTGGTTGCCTTGGGTGATAAGTTCTTTCTTTGATTTAGAAAATAATATAACTTCTAGAGGCTCTCTTGTATTTATATTTTAAGCTAAAGATTCTTCTTCCTCCTTATTTATTTTTTTGTTATTCCTTGATACTCACCAGCGTCAGCAGCGCCTGTGTGCTGCTCATGTCTATCAGCGGCGGGAAAATGCCGGACGAGAAGGGCAGAAAGTTGGTCATGAACGGCGAGACACTAGCCGCAGCCACCACGGCGGCCATTTGGCTCTTGGCCTGCTCTGTGGGCGACGGTGCGGCGGGTGGCGGAACTAGCTGTGCCAGTGACGAGGCACCACCACTGGCTGCCGTACCACCCACGCCCAAGTTGCTGCCTCCTCCTCCACCGGACACGCTCACTTTGGTCTCCTTGGGCAAACTGACGGCAGCGGAATTCGCAGCTGCCGATGGCGAGTGCTTCTTGGCGGGATTAGGGCAACTGTTGCTAGTGCTGGTGCTGCTGTTGGACGATTTGAGACCAGAGCTTGGGGCAGAGGTGGTGGCTCCTGCTCCGGATCCGGGTCCACCTCCAGTTCCCGCTGGCGACGAAGTGCTGGCGCTGTTGCCATCGTAGTAGGAATTGCGTCGTGTTACATTGTTGCTGCACAGAGAGAAATAACAGGGAAATGTTTAGTTTTAAAATGTTTATAACAAAAAATATTTTATTTGTATTGTATTTATATGATTTTGCTTATTTAAAAAAAATTGTTTTTATCTGAATTATTAAGTAAGCAATCTTTTGAAGTTGGTAAACACTTGTAGATACTCCATTTCTTATAGTTTTCTTTCAGTTTCAAGTTTATGTGGAATAGCTCTACTCACTCATTGGGATTGGTGTTATTGTACTTGGCCGCCAGACACCGCATTATGTCCGAGTAGTTGCGATTGGAGAAATCCGAGGCGCCGCTACTCGATGCCGCTCCACTTTCCGCCTTGCTGCCACTGTTGCTGCTGCTGCTGCTGTTGCGATGCTGCTGACTGGCGGCGGCCTGTTGGATGCTATTCAGCAAATTCGTTGACAAATTGTGCACCGGCATGTGCGTGGCGGTGCCTCCTCCCGATGATGTTGCTGCTCCCCCGGTTGGAGCATTAGGCGGACTCAGGCGCTGGCTATGTTGCTGGTTGGGTGAGACACCACCGCCGCCGCGAAAAGAAGACGAGGAGGGCGTGGCGCTGCGAGATCTATTCCACAAATATAGAAAGAAACATAAGGATTAGTTATTTTGAAGCAAACATTTAGCGGGTTTTGCATAAGTGACATCAGCCTGGTATATTTACTAAATGATGTATGCATGGACAGCTCGGAAACGCTCGAAAATTTGCATTAATATTTAATTATCTAGAGTTCCCCCCATTCAGAACCCCCAAAAGGTGTCGCATACAATTGGCTTATTTGTCATTCTGTCCCCCGAGTGGTCCAGCACAGCATCTGAGCCAAGTTGGCTTATTTGACATGCTAATGAGTGGCTTCCGTGAGATCTTCACGGGCCAAGAAAAGAAAAAGAAGCCTGCTCCCAAGAGATTCAAGCAGCTGCAAAGCTACGATTCAAGCCTCGTTGACGCTTGATATTTAGTTAATTTCTTTCTGGAAGTGGCCGGGCATTGGACATAATGCGATTAGGAATACGATTTGACATGGGAACTGCTTTTGCAAGGAAGACCAAGTCCCGATAGCTGGCCGAGTCAGGTGAGAAGCCTGGGAGAGTTCACTTTATGGGAGTTTCGTGTTGGGATAATTTTAATTACATTTCACTTGGATAACCGGATAAAAGCTATAATATTGCCATAATATATAATATTGTTGAAATCATTTATTAACCTATTAAATTGCTCTATTACAGCAGAGTTAAGCATGCTTGATTAGGTAATAACGTTTGTAAGTAAAGAAAACTTGTTGCTGAATATCGAAATTTAAAGAAACTGCTTTCTATTTTAAGTTTTTTTAAAATTTAATTACTTAATAGTAACCTTCTTTATCTCCTTAAACCTAAAGACCTCTGGTTTACTTCCTTTAATTCCTGACAAATACATCCTAATGTATTATCTAAGTCATACTTGAAATAATCTCTAGTTCCATTCCTTGTTTTTAGCTCCTCAACCCATAATTCTTCCTTATAATTTAAAATCTTGTCCATCCGATCGCCAGAACATTATCCGAAACAATTTCATTTTGGATGCTCTCGGATCGCAACGAAACAAAACGAAACAATCCATGTTAACCAATGTCGAGCAATTGTGGGCAACAATCTGGCTGGCATGGCCATAACTCATACTCGGCTGCAACTACCGGCGGAGACATGCCACCAACATGGCGCACTCCGTGCCCCCAGCTCCCTGCGAAACCCACCCATTAGCCACCATTGCCATTCCTATAGAGGAGCAGCAGCACTCTCGGGCCAACACACGAGCCAAGGCAGGGTAGCCCAAGTCGAATGAAAAATAATCAGCATAGATTCCTGGCCAGATCGGCGGTGGCAGCAGCGGTCACCTCCTAAACTGTTTGGTGCCGCAGCCAGTGGCAGCTGCAAGTGCCTGCCTCTATTTTCGGTTCCACCATGGCATCGGGTTGCATGTCGAGAGAGTTGCTAAGTTGGCTACTATTTTAGCTTGAACAATGATATATGAATGGGTTTGGGGGTCAAAAGGAACGTTAAGATATTTCTTTATTTATCTATATCTATATCTAATTTTTAATGTTCATTGATACTTGTAAGGATATTCGAAGGGTATATTTGCCATGAATAGCTCTTAAATTATTTTCTAAGGATTATTGTACCACATTTTAACATTGTTGGCTTACATTTTACCTTAACTTAAAATTCCTTTTCAATATCTATTCCGTATTTAACCCTCTCTAGATATTTGGCTCAGCACTGGTGTTGCATGCCACATGGCTTGGTGGCTGCTTCTGCTGCTGGCTAGGTGGTTGTGGCACGGCCTTCCTTGGCCAGAAGAGAGTAACTCGTGCTGCACGTCGTCGTCGCTGGTCGTTGGTCATGTCGTGTCGCTCTTTCGGAGGCTGCGGCACAAATTTATATATACATATAGCAGCTTGCCGCTTCTCCCCACCCCCCTCCTGCCACTGCCACTGCCACGCCCCCTTGCTAGACTGCCGCCCCGCTTCCCACTCTGTGTGTTCCTGCTGTTGTTGTTGCCATTGATTTATCGTGATCTGTTGGTTGTCGATTTTTTTCGGTCTCTGTTCGCCGTTCATTGCTTACAACTTTGTTTTTCCTATTTGTGTTTTTTTTCTAGCTCCTTTTTTGCTGTATCTTTTTTAGTAATTTTTTTTTTGGTTTTGTTAAAAATGTTGATTATTGCAAATTGCTTTGGCGATTGGTAGCAGCTACTTAGTTGTGTTTTGTTGCTTGTTCTTGGCAATTGTTTGAACAGCAACCAGATCAACCAAACACGAACAAAACTGGCCAGGTAAAAAATGGTTTATGGTGGCGATTATGTTGGCTCCTGCTACCGATTGAGCCCCCCTTTTTCCCCGCCCCCCAGTCCACTGCCTAATCTCGATTGGAGTCTAACGGTTCTGCCGAGATCTTGGGATCGGTGGCATGCCTAATTGGTTTTTATTATACAACCAACAACCGATCCAAATACCGGCAACATGTGCCCGCCTTGGTATGCAAATGGTGTCTATTGTTACGCCTACACCAAATTTTGATAAGTCCCTAATAAAAGTGTGTGTGTGTGTGTGTGTGTGTACAGTATGGTACGAAATTAAAATGCAATTAAAGTTTTAATGAATGGATATTTAAGAAAAAATTTACAGAAAGCTTTGATAAGAAAGATTATATAGCTTGGGTTAGTTTTACTATTAAAAAAATCAAGTCAAAATATTCTCTTAAATTCATAAATATAATGTGCTTAAAATATAATAGTTTAGCCTCCTAGTCTTAAATAAATAATAATATTAATAAACAATGTCTTATCCATGTTTTAAGCCCACAAAAGCTGACTAATCCGACCTCTCCATTTAAACACTTTTTTTTTAACTTGTTGAAGGAAATACAATATCATTTAAAGTTTTGAAACGCACTGTACTAATCGATCTAGATTTGTATAATACTCTAGGCCCAAAAAAGAATGTCTGTCAATGAGTTCTGGTGACGAAAAGTTTCTCAAACCAAAAACTCAAGAGACAATAGGCAAACCAGAAATTAGTTTAGATTTTCTGTTTGATATATGATATAATACTGCACCCATTTGGTTGAATTTAAACTTTAGTTTTTCTATAACAAAAGGCCTTTAAATACCAAACGGAGAAATTTGCCCTTATCGCTTTTACAACCGTGCAGTAAATATGCAAAATACTCTAGAAACAAATACAAAATAAACATAATCGAAAGGTCAAAATATAAGCTAAATGAAGATCGAGTGATCGAGTTTTTGTGAATGGGTACTCTTAGAGCTAGATCGAGTTATGTTAAGGAACCATAGTTTTCAGACACATTTAAACAGATAAATATTTGTGCGTCATGTAAGAATTTGCATAAAATTTGCATTCATTTATCGATGGCCGCCAAAATTTATTTATGATATAAACAGAGTTTAAAGAATGGATCAGAATCAAGACGAGCGAGCGTTTTCGCCTCGCCCTCCGAGAAGACATCCATTTGTCAAATCGTATTAAGGCATCTCCGACTGGCGGGCTGCCTTAATAAGCGCTCCTAATTTGTGCAAACAATTATAAATTATGAAAATTATGCGGCTAATCCAATATCTGCTGACGACCACCCCGGGCGAGATCTGGGAACCCACCATGGCCAGGTGCGGACCGAATATGTTAAGTCCAAGTCCGAGTCGGAATCTATCGTGAGCCAGCCACTCAACGTCCACACCTCACGTGGCGATAGACCAGCGTTAGCATGTCTCATTAATATTAATATGGCCAAAACGTATCTCCGAACTTGTATCTTTCTAGCCATCTGTGCTGAGGCCTAAGGCTTGTTTGGATTTCGGTTCGAGTTGGCGAGATAAATTACCTTTATTTATATTAGTTAATATTTAATCTTTAACGCCATTAATTTAGTTGCGCGTATTAATTGCTGCTGATCTCGCTTGTCAAATTATTTGCTGTTCTGTCTTTATCTCTGAGCCTTGTTAATTTTTTGTCTTATTCGCATTTACATTTCAAGTTTTTCAGCTTGTTTTTCTTTTCCTTCTCTTGGCGGGTTCTTTGTTATTGCCTTCTTTTTGACAGCAGAAGCGTGCTCTTGTGTGTGGCGGCTATATATTGGTGTTGGCTGCTTTTTGTTTGGTTTTGATTAATTTGCTGTTGGCCGCGAACAGAAGCCGCATCGATTTGGTTTCTTTTCGAGGTATTAATTTATTAAAATGTTAATTAATTTGTCAGGCGCTGACAGCCATCGAAATCGCTTGATAAATTGTCCCAAAGCTGAGTTTCAAAAGGGAAATCTATTCTATAAAAAAAAAAAATAAATAAAACCACTCTGGCTATGGAAATAATGTAGGTACATTTAATACAATTCACAGTTGTGTTTTCTGACACTGCGTGTAATATGTCGGAGCAACGAAGGAAGTCGGACAATACTCTTGACGGGGAAGAAGATCCGCCTCTTATCAGCGCGGCGCCTTCCATCCTGCGAAATGTTACTGCTTCGAGGCAGCTGCTCGCGGAGGCAGCCTCCATAGTCATCTCCTTGCCGGACGAGGACAGACCAAGCTCGCCTGACGAGACCCCGGAGCAGCGGCATCGAAGAAGGATCAGATTCCTGGAGATGCGGCGGGAGCACTATAGTCAAATGCATCAACATACCGAGCAGTGCACCATGTCGGACGACGACCAGCAGGAGTTGCCCAACACAAATCCACCGGGGATGGAGGATAAGAAATAGTCTAAATACGAACTAATCATGTTTTGTACTACCCACAAAACCCCAATAAAAATAAATAGTAAAGTAGTAGAAGTTGAAGATTTGTTGTTATTAGTCTTATGTCAGGAGCAGGACTGTTCACACAGATCTTCCGATGGCCTTGACAAACTCTTACACATATTATAGACCCGAAAGTATATCTACTTTATTTCTTATATTATATATATAACACTCACCTGGCAAATGAGCTGACGGTAACTTCTCCGTTGTGGCTGCTGCTGTTGCTACCGGGACTGAGGCGCTCCCTCTTCACGCTGAGCCCCAGATGCGATTGCTGCTGCTGACTCGATTGCTGGTGATTGTTGCTACTGCCGCTGCTGTTACTGCTGCTGTTGTTGTTGTTGATGGTGTTATTATTGTTGTTGTTGTGAATGGTAACCATAGGCTTGGCCTCTATCAGGGCATCCTTGTGGTTGTCCATCTGCTGCAGCTGCGGCGACAACTTCTCGTGCTTGACCTTCTCCAAATACAACGCAGCATAGGCGGCAGCCACCGAGGCGGTGTTTGGATTCGAGGAGGACGCAGACGATGAGGAAGAGGAGGTGGTGGACATACCCGTGCCCAAGTGGGTGGTGGTGGGCGTGGCGGCCTGACTGACCGCTCCGCCCGCCCCGCCAGTGGCCGCCTCGCTCAGCTTCTTGGCACTGCTCTCGATGGCTCCATATCCGCTGAGCAGCAGCGATCGCTCGCTAAGCATCTTCGCTTGGAGTTCCTGGGGCTTGGAGCTCCTAGCCTGACCCTGTCCCAGCTGCCTAAGATCGCTGGCGAGCCGTTCGAGGTGCTTCCGCTTGGTGGCACTGCTCGCCGTGGCACTGGTGACAATGGCCGCTTGCTGGTCCTCGTGGGTCGCCGTGGGTTGGGCTGCGCTGCGACCGCCCACAATGGCGGTAGTGGCCTTGGCGGGCTTCTGCTGCAGAATGTCAGTGGGTGCGTTACCTGGAAATAAATTAAAAGGAAGGTAACAGTTAGTCATGAACGATCTAAGCTGAGATAGATGTGCAACAAACACTCAGAAAACTGCAGAAAACTGTTAAAACTATTAAAAACTCTTGGCCTAATAATATTTGGTTGCAGAATAACTATTTGGGCATCTTGAAATATATGCTTTGCATGTGTATTTTCAAGTTAAATCGCTTAAAAAACACCTCAAAGTATTGCTTTTGGTGTAACGAACCAAAAGCGCTCACAAGAACACACTCAGAGTGACACGCACCCGTCGACTGAGAGACACACTTTGTGGTGTAAAAAGCTCGAGGCTCGCTTTGGCGCATGCAAATCGGCCAAAGGTTAACATAACTTATAATATGTTAACAAAACCATTGACCTGCAGTGTTGAACCTTTAAGCTAATTATCGGGGTGCGCCTGGGGCTGCCAAGTGCACATCATACTACGTACGGCGAGGCAGAGTGCGATTCGTGCGGTTACACAGCCCGGAAAAGCTACAATGTAGCAGCAAAACAGCAGGAAGACCACAGTAAAATATTTAAAGTATTTTGGGAATTTATTGGTGAGCTTAAGATTCCTTCGTACTTAGCACTGATAATAGTACTTTATTTCAGGGAATAAACAAGAATAAAATAATTCTTTTTTAGGGTTGATTAATATTATTTTCCTATAATTAAACAGTTGTTTATAATGAAGTAAGAAAATACATACAAATACCAAGCCCCAATACCACATAAAATAAACTTTTATTATGTGGTTTAAGCTTCTCCTTCTTCTCACAAAAATTGTTTACAAATATTATTTTCCATGGGTATTTTTTCCCCCAATTCTCTTTGGCTACAGTTATTGCCTGGCATATAAATAATTTAATTGTAATTGTAATTTCACTGGCAAAAATTAAAAAGCAAATACGTGTATCGGTGCGTGCACAAGCATTGACCTTTACCTGCCCGCCGGCAAGGCAGAGAGGAGGGGTATTATGGCCGAATCGAAGCCAGTGGACGCAAGGTGTAAATTGATGGAAGCCACACCACCAGTTCCCGACTCAAATACCTAGTCCCAAACCCAGACCAGACGAATCCCCGCGCCGTACTCTAAACCAGACCTGGTGCCAGATCCAGCCCGGCTGCTCGCATGTTTAGCAGCCAAAGCACACAGCATAAATAATTAAATGAAATATTTACAGGCGAAATTAACAACAATTTGTAGTTTTAAGCTCGTTACGATCCCCGCAATCGGGGCCCGAATCAAAACAGAACCAGAATCGTAGTTCGGGATTGCATTGAACGGGGTCGAAGCTATAGAGATCCCCTGCCGCTATGTTTCATATCAAATTTCACCCTTCCAGGTTCGGATTCGATTGGGCGAGCTCGGAATATACTAATATGTATTCATATATAAGTATATATATGTGACTGTTTAATAAGTTGGCCGTGCGTTATCATAAAATTAAGTTTATCATTGGTTAGCATAGAAATTAAGTTGTGGGTATACCATGACAGAGGAGAGAAAACCGAAATCAACCGCCCTAAAGTGGTTGAACAGTGGATTGTATTTTTGTTAGAATATCTTGGAATTTGTCTTAGCTAAAGTTCTGTTTACATAATTTACAAAGGCTTTTAAGTCTTAAATTAACAATATTATTTAAATTTGATACGCACGATTAATAAACGGAAATATACCTTGATTTCTTTTTACAGAACAAGAAATAAATCTAGATACATTTACATATATGTAAATAAATCAATTTGACATTTCGCTTCTGTTAACTTCGGGACATAATAAATAAAGTTTAGTATAATATAATAGCATCATTTAATTTAAATGATTATATTTTGAAGTCAGTAACCTTGGCCTAAAGGTGAAAGAACACTGATCTTTGTGGGTTTTAGCAAATTAATCCCCTGACTAAATCAGCAAAGTTATCAGATATATCTACTCCCTCTTATTTCTGTATATTTTAGTACCACTGTGCTTGGCTGCTTATTTTTTTTTTTTCGTAGCCCGATCGTTTGGCCGCTTTGCGCGGTCAGAGCGCTCCCCATAGAGACCCCTGATTGGCATCGCTTGGTGCCAATGGTGCTAAGTGCCGAATGCCGAATGTCGAAAGCCGATGGCGATGATGATGACGATGATAATGACGCTGAAAGTAGCAGCCGATAGGGCAGAGCAAGCGAGAGGGAGAGAGGGACCTCGACCCAACATGTGCCATGCGCGACACTGTTGACTTTTTCCAGTTGGACGTTATATGTTTCTCCCCACCGAGCGCCGAGTGCCAGTCCGGGTCCCATATATACCTGAGCGTGAGATTGGGTATCGGTATCTGTGAGTGATCCGCACAGTGACAGGCCGCATTTCGGTCGGGTCGACAAGTGTCAATAGTACTAATAGACGTCGCCGCCATTGAGACTTGGGACCGAACCCAAGCACGTCCCTGCCATAGAAATCGGGGGAGGAGCGTGGAGAGGTAGAGGTGATTCTGAAGGCGGTAAAGTTCATTGCCATTCGGCTAGCGATACGTACATATGTACATATATAGTATACGTACAACGAGGCAGTGGCAAACACAGCTGCTGCCGCCGACCTGTCATGTGACCATTTTTCATACACTAGAAATATGCCATGCAATAATTACAATTGCGACAAATTGCGATGGAAGTTGCGACGACCCACACAGCTGCCGCTGAAGGGTCACACACACTCTCGACCGTCTAGACCTTGGGAAAAATCCCCCCCAAAAAAAAAAAAGAATATATATATAGGGGGCTTAACCCCTGACGCAAGCAATCATCGATAGTTGATTTTGGCCCCCACATTTGACTTGCATGAATGGCTGCGGAATGGAGCGTAGTACTCCAATGGGAAGTTGGTCTTATCAGCTGTATTTTATTATTTCTTTTGACCTCATTTGAAAACCAAATAAGCGCCGACCACTTCACCCCTCTCTTGCCCTTTATGCAAACCCAGTGCTTTGTTGTTATCGCTCCTCCCCTGCCCCAAAAGAGAGAGCAACACAGGGTTCAACCTTTGTTCCCGACGACGACTTGTTCCGTAAGAGGAGTAAGTAAACAAAAAATATGTGTGCGAGTGCGAGTATCAGAAAGTCAAGAAGGTAATACCGAGGCACCAAGCTGATAAATAGGGTCTCCGTTCCCGTCCGGGTTCCCGTATCAGGGCAGCGCTCGGTACTGGCCTATCTATGGCACAGGGCCCTGAACCGAACCGAACTGAACTGAAGCGATTTCGTGGTTCGAATTCGATTCGGCCGAATTTATTTGGCTAGTTATTTGATTTAGCGATTATAAACTTACGCTTATTTATAAATTATTTGTAGCTCACTTATAGTAGGTTGCGAGGCACCTTTGAACTAAAAAGGAAAACTTCTAGAAACCTCGGCCTATTTCATCACGAGATAGGACTAATTTTTAACCAATTAAAAGATAGTTCAATTGGTTCAGTTATTTATGGTATCTCTACTTAGTTAAATTTTTTAATTAAATTTATTCTTAGCTTGATCTTTTTTTGTTAACGTATATAAATTGTATTCAGAACACACCTTGGAAACTTAACCTTAGCTTGACCGTTCCTATTTCACTCGACTTTTTTTTCGTCACATTCCATTTTTATAGATAAACATTTACGGTGGCCTATCAGTAGTATCTGTATCTGCATCGCTCTGCTCTGGTTCAGTTTCAGTTCGAGTTCAGTCAGTTTCAGTTTCCTTTTTACGTGATTTCTTGTATCTCAAGTGTTGTGCTCTCTGGTCGCTGGGTCTTATCGCCTTGTTTGTCCAAGTGCCAGTTGAACTATATATGTATGTTTCTGCTTCTGGTGATGATGATGATGATGGTGATGGCAATGATGATGATGTATGTATTCCTATATAGGGGGCTTAGTACTCGGCGTATATGGCCTTCTCATGGTTCACGATGTTTTCGTCAGCGTGTGTTTGCCCCCCTGCCCTGCTCTTCGGCTGTTCTCAATTCCTTGGGACGTTTTGTGGTTTTTGAAAATCATGTCGCATTTATTAGATCATCAAAAGGTGTTAAAGATTGTGGGGCGCGTTTCACTGATAATATTTGGCCTGGCCTTTTGTGTTGGGCTTTCTGGAGCACCAGTTCAATTGTTGTTTGGGTGAAAGTAATTCAGAGTTCATTAGAGATCTCTCATCTAACTGTTGATTTTTCATTTACTGCTCTGGGCTTATATATATATGTATTATTTTTTTGATTTGTCATATCTGGCGGACAAATTCATTATCTTTATGGGATAGCAATCTCCGAGGGGCTTGCAATTTGCCTCAACAAAAGCGTGTGGAAATTAACCGAAATACAAATGAAAACAAAATGATTCAAAGAAAGGGTTCATGAACCGAAAGCAAATAGTTGGAATTTTATAAAACAAAGAAAGAACATTAAGCAAGCAAAAATTTTGACTAAATCGTATATCTACTTAAAATTAATATTGATTCCCTTAGGAAATCCCCTATTATCGAATACTTTTTATGATTTTTCTGTGATGGCCTTAGGAAAAATCAAATAATAAAATACAACGACTCTGAGATAGCAAACTGAAACTGGAACGGACGCCAACATAAAACCATTGGACAACCGCAAAGAGCAAAGCGATCTAACGGTTCACGTCACTGCTCCCCACAGGTCCACGGCAAATTGAAATTTCAAATCAAATCAGAGCAGAGCCAGACGGAAATGGCAAATGATTTTCTTCTTTTTCCAACATTCTGCAAACTCCATAACGGGCAACCGAAGGAAAAATTTCATAAATTATTAACACCTCTGCCATTTGAACTGGACAAACTGGTACCCCATTCTACACGAATGCGTGTGTGTGTGTGTATGTGCGCGTCGCGCCTCTCTTTGCGCTTCTCATTGAGCTTAGCTAGCTGGTGCCTTGGGCCATGTCTTCGGTCTGCATAATTGCTTTAATGGAATTTGATTTTAGCCAACCTCTCAACACGCTCGGCTAGAGA